GTTGTGCAGTCCTTCTCGAAAACAAAACGTAACCTCCGATTACTCACTGCGGAAGTTTTTGCAAACTGCTGAACCGCTTCCCCCCCCTTCCCAACTCATTGCAACCTCAGATGAACTCTTTCTTTCCATAGTAAAACTGAGCCAGCGGTAAGGTATTCCCAAGGTAAAGGTTCCCCTCGCACGTATGTGCTAGTTGTTCCTGACATTAGGGGGCGGTGCTCATCTCCGTTTCAAAGCCCAAGGCCCAGCGCTGTCCGAAGACGTCTCCGTGGTCATGTGGCTGGCATGACTCAACTCCCGAAGGCGCACGGAACGCTGTTCCCTTCCCACCAAAGGTGGCCCCTATTTTTCTACTTGCATTTTTACATGCTTTCGAACTGCTAGGTTGGCAGAAGCTGGGACAAGTCACGGGAGCTCACTCGGTTAAGAAGCACTAGGGATTCGAACCGCCAAACTGCTGACCTTTCGATTGACAAACTCAGCGTCTTAGCCACTGAGCCATCGCATCCCTTTTTTTCTGTAACTTTGAACGTTCGCTAAACAAACTGTTGTAAGTCGAGGACTACGACAAAAAGAGATCGGGTGCCAAAAAAATACCATTACCCTGTTTGTCTTCCAAAGAATTCTTCTGCCAGTTTTTAAGCCAACGCAGGAGTTTATTAGCGCAGCTCTGCTCGCCTTGCTGCCCGATGATGCTTTTGAGGGAGGTGGGCTTGTATTTGTCCACCCACAACAACACTTCCCCTCCGTTTTTATTCGTTTCGCGAGCTGAGCTCTGTTTTTCTTTGGGAACTTGCTTCTTCTTCTCCTCCTCCTCCTCGTCCTCCAGGAAGTCCAGCCCTCTCCTTACCGCCCCGGCTTCCTGTTTGATGGATTTAAAAGGCTCCGTGTTTTCCGCAAGGAAGGTTTTCTTTCGGGAATCGGAGTTCAGCTTCGCGGGGCTCGGTTTCCTTTTGTGGGTTTGCGTTACCGGGGAGGTTTTTTCCACCTTGGACTTTGTTCTCTTCGCCTTCAAAAAAAGAAAAAGAAAACCAGACGTCGTAAATGATGGAACTCAACAGCTCGGACTCATAGATAGGATGAAGCCAAAATCAAACGTGCCCTTTTTAGTGCTGGGCATAAACCCAATTTTTGCAGTCCAATAAACCCAATTGTAGAATTCTTTGGGAGCCGACTAGGGGGTTCACTCAATTATATTATACATGCCAAGCCAAGGGAATTCTTCTCGTTTCTTTTGGCAACTACCAGATTTATTCTGGTTCATAATGGTGTAGTTCAGATGTCGGTGAACTTAAACACTCAAAGAGCCACAAAAGTCCTAACTGGAAGCCCCCCATTATATACCGGAGCCAACCGGAAGTCTGGTTCCCCCACCATAGCGCCTCCTCCTAGCACGGCGTTCTTTTTCCTCTACCTGTCTTAACCGAAAGCCCTATCAATTGTGGAACTGACTAGCGGCAGGAGTCGCAGCAGAGGGATGAAAGAGCCACATGCGGCTCCAGAGCCACAGGTTGCTGACCCCTGGTTTAGTTTATAGAGGAGGATAGTTATTGTTCTCGACACACTAGAGAGGCTATTAACACAGGGGCAGCCAATCTTGGCCACTTGAAGACCTGTGGACTTCAACTCTCAAAGAAATCTATCTATCTATCTATCTATCTATCTATCTATCTATCTATCTATCTATCTATCTATCTATCTATCTATCTCTCCCCCTCTCAATTCAATTCTGGGAGTT